TAAATCCTTTTTTTATATTCCATTTCTTTCAGACTTTTTTTTAATTTTGAGGTTAAATTCCTCTCCAATGTTTCAATTTTTTTTACTTTATGATAATTAACTTTTATATTATATTCTCTTTTTTTGCTTTATTCATTATTTATATATTATAATGTTAAATTCTATTCTTGAGAAATTTTTTTCATTTAATTATTTGTCAACGATTAAACTAACGTAACATGTGATGGATTTTTATGTAGCTTCGTCATTAATTTTATATTATTATAAGATTTATTTCTACATGCAAATATATGTATTTCAAACATTGTTTTCTCATCTACATTTCCATGTAATTTTTATTTATAATTTTATCGTTATTTAAATGAATAAATTGTTTGTTTATTACTCGATCATAGATCAAGAATTTATAATTGAAATATATTCTATGATGATCATTATAATTAATTGAATGATCATAAATAATTAATTGAAAAGAATTTCTAAAATTTATATAAGAAAATTTATATAAAAAAATTGTTTAAGGTTCTAATTTTAAAATGTGAGTTTAAAAATGAAAAAATTATTAATAGAAAAATAGTAATTAATTAATTTTTAATATAATGTCTTCGAAATGAGAAATAATAGGAGCCGTATAAGTAAAATTAGTGGCACGTGATCTCTCTGTTTTTCTCACACAGAACTTTCTTTGTTTGTGACGTCACGAATACCTTCTTGTATATTCTATGTTCCTACTAATAAGTCTGAACTTCCAGTGTCCTAACGCGAGATGACACTACGAATACGTAAATTTGTCTAATTTAATTATATTGAGAAATACATGAATGTTTCAAAGTAAGAAATTGACAGAAGTGGGAAAGCATATAAAAATAGTATGTATATGTATATATATGAATATAATACATTTGTAGTATAAATGTAAAAATATTTATATACTAAAAATTACACAGATTGAATTTATTACATGTTTTTATCTATCCGTTATACGATTTTATTTATTACTACGTGCACATGTAGTTCTTAATATTACATATGAAAAGTTCTAATTATTTGCTACCATTTATTTTATTAATAAATAATATTCTTTATATAAATTTTATATAAAATATAAAATAATTTAAATAATTTTAAAACAATTTTTATCTGTCTCAAAAGATATGAATTATTAACATATTTTTACTTAAAAATTATCATTTATCAGTAATTAAAACGTAATATTAAACATTGATACAAATTTTTCACATTAAATTATTTACATTTGTTATCATCTGATTCTTATCAATATTTAAAAGCCTTCATGTAGCATATTTTGTACAGATTGCTAATAGACTTTGATATATTGTGGAATAAATATCTCCATATAATGGCATCAAGTCAGGTATATAAAATTTAAAAATATTAAATCAATTTTTTTTATAAAAAATGCTTTTATAAAATTAAAAAGAAATATTTTTAGGTTAAACAAATTGTTAATTTGTATAAAACATTAGCACAATATCCATCTCTAAATGGTGCAAAAATTTTTGAATTAAGTGAAAATAGAATATCAATTTTAAGTGCATGGTCTCAAAGAAATTTGGAAAGGAAAACAAATCAAAAATTTTGTCAGGATTATATTTTAGATTCAGAATTACAAATACAATCTGAATGTTTTCCTATTGATATTACCACAGAGTATGATATATATATATTATAGAAATAAAATTTATTATATTTTTATAATGTACATTTAAAAAAAAAAATTTATATTAAAGGCTTTTATCTGATTATACTGAAGATCAACAATATAAAGCTATATTAAGACAAACTACAATTGAGAATACTACAAAACAATTTATTGAAATTTGGGATAAACAAAAACTTATAAAAAATTATGATTTAGCAGCATTGGATGTGCATGGAGATGTATACACAGATTGTAATTATTAATTCTTAATTATATATATATATAATTTATTTATATATATATAATTTAATTAATAAGAATTAAAAAATTTTGTTCTTTCTGTTTTAGCTCAATTTGCTTCTTTTCAATGGTCTCCAGATAAAACAAAAATATTATACATTGCTGAAAAAAAACTACCAAAATCTGAACCATTTTATAAACAAAAACCATGTAATAAAGAAGATAAAGATAAAAAAGAAGAAAGAGAAATAACAGTGGTAAATTATTTTATTTTTTTTTATAATATATAATTAAAATTTAGAATATATAATTAAAATTTTGTTAATAAAATATTTAATATAGGGTAATGAATATATTTACAAACCTCATTGGGGAGAACAATTGGTAGGTAAATACCGTCCAATTGTTGCTGTCCTTGATACAACAACAGACACAATTTCAGTTCTCTCAGGTATACCAGATGAATTATCACCTGCTCAAGTATTATGGGCTGAAGATAGTGAAAGTATAATTGGTGTAGCATGGAAACATGAACCAAGACATTTAGGTCTCATTGCCTGTACTAATAGACTTTCTTGGATATTTTTATTGAAAAATGGAGAATACAGTAAGAAATACTTAATTATTTTTTAGTTTATAAATTATATATTTTAATAATAAATATATATTTATATTAATTTATATAATAATATAATATTATATTAATCTTTTAGAAAATCTTTCAAATGATGGATGTGCTGTCCATAGTCCTAGGTTTAGCCCTGATAGAAAATATCTAATTTGGTTGGAAAGAGAAGCAGGTGGTGCACACCATAATGCTCACAGACTTATGCATCTTGAATTCAATTCTGAAAATTTGAAGGTATTTATATATTAAAATATGTATAATAATTGTATATAATTATGTATATGTATATAATTTAATGCTATTTTTAAATTTGTATTGTTATCTTTTATTTAGGTTAAAATACTTATAGATATTGTAGAATCAAGTATATCTATTCAAAATGCTGATAAGTTTTATGGTTTGTATGGTCGTTTACCAAATCGATGTTGGAGTAATGATTCAGAATATGTATTTTTGAGTACACCTCAACAAAATAATACACGATCTTATATTATTCATACAAGTAAAAAAACAAAATATATTTAATATTTATTAAATTTTTTTCTCCTTAAAATAAGATTGTAATATAACAAAAACATAATTTATAGAAACAAAAATAATAACAGAGATTCAAAATGATAAAAGTAGTCTTAATATTTTGGATGTAAAAAATAATATTATTGTGTTTTTGGAAACTTCTCTCTTGGAACCACCTTATCTTACAGTAGGAAGATTTGATTCAGAAATTAACAATGGTTTTATTAAAAGAAATAAAATTTCTATTTCCACAATGATTCCTGGATCTGAAAATTTAATGTACGAAGCTTCCGAATATGATTACGATAATGACGAAGAAATAAGTAAGTAATTTATTTTAATAATAAAAAATACAAAGTAAATATTTTTTAATGATTTTGTAGAACATTTTAACTTTATTTATTTTGGACCAAAAAATGGAAGTGATAAATCTGTACCTTTAATAATTGTAATACATGGTGGACCTCATTCTAACTATGCAAATTCATTTATACTTGATTATTTTTTGTTTGTTTTATCAGGTAAATATTCGTTTTACGATGATTAATATTTGAATTATCATAATGCAAAAATTATTTATTTAAGGTTTTGCAATAATACAAGTTAATTATCGTGGTTCTACCGGAATGGGTTCAAAAAACGTTGAATATCTTCAAGGAAAAGTTGGAAATATTGATGTAAAAGATTGTGTAACTGCTACAAACGAAGCTTTACAAAAATATTCGTGGTTAAATCCAGATAAAATAGGACTTTGTGGTGGTTCACATGGTGGATTCTTAGTCGCTCATTTAAGTGGTCAATATCCAGTATGTTCATAAATTGCTTGGTATTTTTATCAAATATTGAATTGAATAACTATATTTTTATCTAATTTGTAAAATTAATATAATAATTAATAACAACTTATTCTTATAGAATTTATATAAAGCTGTTGTTGCAAGAAATCCTGTAATTGATATTGCTGCTATGTTCACTATATCAGATATTCCAGATTGGTAAAACATTAATATATTTTTATATATTTTCATGTTTTTTTAATTGAATTTCTTTTGGAATTATTTCATTTATATTGCAGTCGCAATACTCTGAATAAGGAAGAAAGAATTAAGTAAGCTTAATAAAATTAAGCACAATAAAGTTTAACAAAAAAAAAAACCTGATGATAGAAAGATTGAATCTAATATTATTTTAATTATAAATTTCATAAAGCATTTTATTTCAGGTGTGCTGCTGAAATTAATTATTCTTTTGATGAAAACATACCAATCTCAGAATCAGATCGAGTTGAAATGTTTGTGAAGATGTTTAAATGTTCTCCGATTATTCATGTTGACAAAGTAAAAGCTCCTACCTTATTATGTATTGGTTCAAATGACTTACGTGTACCTCCATCTCAAGGAAAATTATGGTACCAACGTCTTAAGGCAAATAATGTTAAAACCAAGTAAGTAGTTAAAATAAATCAAGTGCAAATCATATTGTATAATGTTTTTCAGACTAAATTGTAAGATAATATAATATTTGTATCTTCATTTTGTTAATAATTACTTGTAATTATTGACAAATCTATGATTTTTTTACTTCAAGTTATACTAATTTCTTAGTTTTGAATTTTATTATTATTTAATATATTATTATTATTTTATATATATAATTTTGGAAAACATTACTATATTTCTGTAATTTAAAAGTTTTGCTAAGTTGCTTACATTGTTTTGCAATTAATTATATTACAGGATGCTTCTTTATGAAGATAATCATCCATTGGCATCAGGAACTGCTGAAATTGATAATATTATCAATGCTTGTTTATGGTTACATGAATATATCTCAACATGTAATACAGATTCACAGTAATGAAAATTATATCAATTTTATAATTAAATTTTATAATTAAATATAAATTAATAAATAATTAATAATTTTTTTATATATAATATAATTAAAAAGCAATTTTGTATAAATATTAAATTTATTAAATACTGTATTTTTACAATATTAAAAGACACTTACAAGCTATAAACAAAATATTGTCCTAAAATAACTTTTTGTTGTTGAATAATTGGCATTTCGTAATGGCCATTATATTTTACACATTATTAATCTTATATTTATATTTCAGTATAGTTTTTTTATAATTACGTATACTTTTTTTAGAATTGTGTAACATAAAATATAAAAATGTTCAGTTATAAACGTTAATATATATAATATTGATCAAAAAATTGATATAAAATGCTAAAAAAAAATTGATTTTTCTTCGAGTACTTGTTTATGTAACTATATTTAATTCATTCAGAAAGGCACTCATTCATACCATATATTTGAAGACTGTATTATGTACAGCAACATCTAATTAAAACATTAGATAATATGCTGTCAATATGTATTAGTTACACATAAGAACTTATGTTCAAAAATTATGATCTAACAGAATTAGTTTGTTCTGGAAATAATGAGTCGTAACTAGGTGGTAAATCTTTATCAGCAACTGCTGAAGAGACTGCGATTTCTAACATTGGTGCCGTGGGAACTGGTGGATTTACAGATCGTTCGGTATCGCGTGATAATGGCGCTGGTCTCGAACATACATTTGGATCAGCACAATCCATAGACCAACATAATTTTTGTGATCTTTTACATATCCATAAACACATAACAAATATGATAAAGCATAAAATCAAAGTAGTCACTGCACCTACTGTTACTTTTGTGCCAGTACCAGTGCTAATAATTTCATTCATACTACTTGGGCATTTATCCTCATCAGAGCAAATACCTGGTACACAATTGTATATTCCATCACAAAAAAAATCATTCAACATACAAGTATTGAGACCAATTGGTGTGTATTTATCTGAATCTATATTACTACAATCTATAATATTAAATATATTAGATTAGAAATATAATTTATTTTAATATTTGTGAAAAATTATTAACATTAAATAAACTTACTTGTAAAAGAAGTATAAGCAATATTAAGAGTAAGAAATTCTCCCTCTTCTAATTTTTTTTTTGAAATGAATATTTCAGTTTCTAATTCTGCAGATTTTTTATTACTTGGATCATATTCAGCATAAATTCTTGTTAATGATTCAGATAAATGCATTCTGCTTTCTGGTTCAGGAGCTTCATAATATTTTATTTTACTGCGATCAAGAAAACCACAAAACTTCTCTGTCCGATGATCATCTTTTCGTTTAAACTAAAATAGATTTTTAAAAATTACTGTATTTATTATTATTATTATTATTAAATATTAATTATATATTATATATTTAATCATTTTATTATTAATATAATATTAATGACTTTAATAGAATTAATATAATTTATGACTTTAATAGAATTCTAATATTTATTAAACATAATTAAGTTAATATTTACTTGTACATAATCTATACATTGTGTTTCATTTTGTCTAAAAGACATTTTTTGAATGACTCCAAATAATCCATATCCTTTAGCTGTTACAAGTTTGAACTTGCAATGAAAATTAGTATGAACATTCCATCGATCCAACATGTGTTTTGCTCGGACTATCACTGCATCAATTTTCATATCAATAGTTGACATTTTAGTAAATATATGACACAATTTTTCCATATTCAAATCGTCTACAAGAAAAAATTATACATTAAATATCATTTTTAGAAAAAAATCTATTGTATTTTTTCAAAAAATCTCACATTCAATATAGTGATTGGAATACGCGCACGAACTATAATTCATGCAATTGTTCATAAAAAATAATAATAAGCAAAGAAAATATAAAATATTCCATTGAGCCATTTTTATAACAACTGTCAAAAAGCCATAAAGAATATGGATAACGTCACCATCGATTACCAGTCGATGATGTCTATGGCTAATTTCTTAGAGAATATGAGTAAGAAAAAGAGAATTATAAGAATTATTGTAAAACGTTTTCAAAGAATCGATTAGATTTAATTCACCATCTATGCAATTCGAATATGTCATTCCTTGCGTATCAAAACAAAACGAATATATCCCAAGTAAACTAAGATACGAGAGATCGAGATTGAAATCGATAATCTCGACAAGATATATGTTAAATGAAAATATATACATTTCTGTAAAAATATAATTATAAAAAGAATAAATAAAATTCTTGAAGTTTTGAAAACAAAATGAAAGTTATGAAGATTGATTATGGAAATGTGGAAATTGGTAAAACGGCAACAAAGACAATAGAGATATGGAATGAATCTTATGTAAATATACTTAATATAATTAATTGTATAATTATATATATCTCAAGATGTTATATTATATATATTATAATATTATGTATATTAATTATACATTAAAAAAAATAAATTTTATAATCCCTTTATTTTTAAATATAAAATTTTTTACAAATTTTTTTAAGCATTTTTTTATTTTATTACTTTATTAATAGTTTTTTCAAAAAAAAATTGCATTTTTGACATATTTTATTTTTGAGAAATTTTATTAATTTATATGATTATTGCAGAAAGAACAATTATATCAGGTTCAAAGAGATCCGATTACAAATCCTTTGGATCATGTATTTCATTTACATTCTTATACTTGGACTTTAGGTCCTGATGAAAAATTCTTATGTGAAATTTATTATCGGCCTTTAGTCGTATCTTCTAGAAATGTTGATTATTTTATAATCATAGATAACAATGGAGCATACATGAAAATTATTACCTATGGATCTAGTATTGGTATCTTTATCTTATCTATTAAAATTTTAATATATAAAAAGTATCTAAATATTTAATAATATAAATTTTACGTTTATATTTAGCGCAAGTTTTGAATTTAATTTTTAAATTAAATTAATTATACACAAAAAAATTAATTTTATATTTTAATTTAATATTTCATTTAATATTTTGATTTTCTTTTAAATTAAATTTTAACCTTAGAATTAAATTATATTATTAATTATATTAAATTAATTATATTAAATTAAATTATATTATTTTGATTTTTTCTAATTTTATATATTTCATATTTTAAGGTCCTAAAGTAATTTCTTCAACAAAAAGAATCTTTATGAATACAAATAAAAATTCTAAGGTTAAAAAACGAATTAAATTATCGAATGATTCTAAAGTTGCAGCGACTTTCATGTTTAATATAGACGAAAAACATAGGATTTTTCAATTAGACACAAGATATGGTGTTATTAATGCTTATTCTTACAAATATGTTACGATTACATTTATACCGCCAAAAGAAGGAAGATATACATATTATTTGATTATTTTAATTTTATATCAAGTAAATAAAAAAAACTTAATCAAAATTTATAATATCTAGGAGAAAATTATTCTTTTATTCATTTATATATAAATTTGATTATAATATAGGAACCAATTATTATAGAATTATATGGTTATTGTTACTCAGTATTTATTAAAAAAGAAACTATAAAATCTATTCCTTATCCTTGGATGGAAAAAGATGGCTTTAAAGGATATATGAGAGATACTACTGATACATTAAAATATCTGCCTCCTGCATCTTTATCAAAGCATTATTTCAATTTTGGTCAAGTAGATGTTGATGTAGAAAATATTATTCAGAGAATACCTCACTCAATATGTCTCACAAATCATATCCATTCAAATTTATTAATTATCTGGGAAAAAGGTATGTCTGGAAGAAAGAATTTATATACATAATTAAATTTGTTCATTGACTTTTTAATTTATTTCTTATATAGATACTGATGGAATTTTTTATGTAACGCCTTCTGAAATGATACTTCGTAAGAATCAATCTGCTTTATTTGAACTTACATTTAATCCTAATATAAAAAATAATCTTTTTGGAAGAGAGATTATTTGTTCTATTTTCTTGGAACAAGAGAAGCTTTTTACTTTCCCATTTGTTTTATCAATGACAGTAATAGGTTTGATATTATATTATAATAAAAATATTTTATGCTAGAGTTTAAGATTTTTTATTTATATTGAAAATTGAATATGAATTAGAAATGTTTCAAATAATAATGAATTACAATGAAATATTTAAAACTTTAAGTATGTTTTAGGTCATTCTTTTCCTATTACATCAAGTGGGTGGATTCCACAATATGAAATTCCTCAAACAGTAATAATGCCACCAAGTGTACCACCATATCCAGTTTATACCACTTTCCTGATTAAAAAATTTGGTCATTTACCTCTTATGTTTCAATTTGTTTCACCATCAGCAAGTCATTTCATTGTAAAACCAATGCTTGGTGTAATTTATCAGTATGACAAATAATTTATTTAATATATTTATTAAATAAATTTAATTTTAATTAGAGATTATTAATTACTAAATTAATTACAGAGATTATCAAATAATTATTGTTGAAATGACATCTAAACCTAAAAATGAACAAATTTATATAGAAAGATGGTCAATATATTTTAATGGGAATACAAAAAATGAAAATTATATAGATTTTAAAGGATATGCAGAGTATGCAAATCTTGTTTTTAATAATAATAATTTATTAAGTTTTCCATCAGTTTTGCCAGGTTGCCAACAATTTTTACAACTTGGAATGAGAAATGTTACTCGTCATGAAATAAAGTAATTAATATTTTTATTTAAAAAAATCTATAAAAGTATCTTTAAATAAATAATAATAATAATTTCACATATTTATTTACAGATATGAATTTTATAATTTACCATCTGAATTTAAGGTACAATTTATTCATGGAAAAATTGATGCAAATGATACATTGTATCAAGAATGTTTGTTTGCTCCAAATGAAATAAATAAAGATTATGATTTCGAAATACAATGCCTTTTGATTGTTATAAAAAATGGAGCTTCTATTGGGTCAAAAAGTTTTGTAAATCTACGTATTCGTGGAAGTAGTGAAATGGGATTATTAGAAGTAAAAATTATATAAAATAACTTTAAAAATCGATACGAAATTAATATGAAATTATTGACATTTTTATAATTTCAAATTTTAGGCACATCCAAATAAATTAAATTTTGATGAGTTAGAATATAACAATACTAAGACATTGTCTTTTGATCTTGTTAATCCTAGTTTAGTAGATATTTATTATACATTGATTTGTACTCATCGTAATTGGGAACTTGGAGATATTAAAAAAGACGTTAAATTACATCCTTTATCAGAGACTATATTTGCAGGATCAACTAAAAAAATTCTAGTTTCTATTACTCCACACGCAGCAGTATATTATGAATTTATAATTCAATATGTAATAAGAATTAATTTTTGTTCAGATATATTAGTAAATAGATACAATCCAATAGATATTTGCAGTGTATCTTGCATGTGTATTTTGCCCACAATAAAAGTAAAATTAAAATTTATTCAATCATAGAAATGATTAAAAATTGCAATATTTATATATATAATACATACATTAGGTAGACAATTTATGTGCCTTTGGATATAATCAAGACTATTCAATACACATTAGTAAACAATTTTTATGGAATCGATTACAAATAAACAAGTATTTTTTTTGATTGACTTTTTTTTAATCGATTATATGACTGATTAAATTATATGATTATTTATTTGTCTTGTTTTTAGATTAAATGAAATTCTAATAGATTTACTACCAGGAGAAACAGAAACTGTAAATATCAACCTTTTACCAATGACTCTAAATAAAGGAACTCTTTTATTAAAATGGGTAATAATTAATCCTTCAACATTGCCTATTTCTCTAAAGATGAAAAAAATCAAACAATGTTCTTGTAAACCTATTATAAAAACAATTGGTTATTTGCCTCGGCGAATAGAAATTGACTGTATTCATAAAAATATTTGTGATATATATATAAAATCGAAGATGTTAAAAGTATGATTTTTTTAATTTGTAAAGTATTTAAAAAGATATTCTCTTAAATTGAATATAGATTCAGAAAAAATATTGATTGATTTTGCAGCCAGAAGAAGAAACTGTGATTGGTATGAATATTCATTACATATTAGTTGGAAAAACAATTATGTCTTGGGATCTAAATATTGGACATGATCGTCATATTATTTTTAAAGTGACCATTGATTGTTTAGCAGAACATGATTCACAAAGTAATTTCTTAAGTACTCCATCAATAAATTTTGGAAAAGTTTATTTTGGAAATAAACAGCCTTTTTATAGGGTATAATTTCATATATCTTTCAATAATATTTTAAATTAAAATTTAATCAAATAATTTAAATTAATAATATTTTAAATAAAGATTAGTATATATTGATATATACTATTTTAGGCACAGTGGATATTTAATATTACGAATAAGGATTTACCATATTCCGTAGATACTAATAATATTCATAAATTAAATGAGAAGTATCAATGTGAAATTTTTTCATGTTTATCACAAGATGGTATCATAAAAAGTGGAACAGCTATACCTCTTATATTTAAGTTTCAACCAAGAATGTTTGGTGAATATAAGGTAATATAAATTAAATAATTAGATAATTTAAAAATTATTAATATATTTTTAGATAATATTTCCAATAATTATGGGTGATAAAACAGAAGAATTGACATTACAAGGACAATCAATTTTTGATTTTAAATTAGTTAGTATTTGGAGAAGAATACCAGCTTTTTGTGCTTGTAAAACTCCACTATTTCCTATATATTTTAGTGTTGATTCCATGAACTTATGGAACATACCTATGCATAATAGTGTTACTAGAATGCTTTTAATATATAACAATTTAGATTTTGATGCACTTGGTTATAAATGGAAATGGTACTTTTTAAATTTTTAGATTTTCTAAAATTTCTTTTCATTTTTCTTTAAATTTTTAAATATCTATAGCCAAAAAATACCAGGACTATTGAGCGTCGATATATTTCCTCGGAAAGGTATATTGCAGCCAAGTTCGGTACAAAGTTTTAGAGTTAGAATTGAAACTTCAGGATATCCTGGTCGAATCGATTTTCATATACCATGTATGTTTTTTAACGCTAGTAAAAGACGAGAATACCAAAGAAGCATCATTAAACATAATATTTTAAGTCAAGAATTAAAAGAACAATTCACTATTACAGAAAAAGGCATTTATGTACCAGTAAGTAATTAGTTAAAATAAATATTATTTATAATAAATTCTATTATAAATAATTATTATGTTTTATATAGAAACCATGGATTGAAATACTTGATGAACCAAGTAAATACTATAAAACATTAAGTGTACGTTGTTGTACATATTCTGTGGAAGATGAAAATATAAAAGTTAAATTATTAAGAGAACTAAAAGCTACTCCTTTAAGTGTAATTCATTTTGATGATAATAAAAATTATAATAATGTTATAAATGAAAAAGAGCTCTATATAATAACACTTATTTTGGAAAATTTATTATGGTAACAATTTTTTTTTGCATTATTTTTATAATTAATTATTATTAATTATTAAAAATAACTTTTTTTTATAATAAGTCTATATAATAAATTAATAATTTTCAGGGATATTGTTAATACTAAAAGATTTATAAAAATAATTGAAAATAATTTAATCCCTGTAAGAAATTTGTATTATACTCAATTCACAATGGATATTTCAAAGCGAAAAAGATTAGCACGAAGATCATATATATCACCACCATTAAAAATTATAGAAGCAATACTAGAACGAGTAAAGAAAAAAATAAATTTTATTTATATATCAATTTTTTATCAAAAAATAAATGACGATTATTATTTCATAGATGTCATTTGATATAATTCATGAAGAATTCACTTTAAATGTTAATCATTTAATCCCTGATGAAGATGTTCGGCATCGAAACTATTTCAAAATGTTACCTAAACAAAAAAGAACAGATCTTAAATTTGAATTTAGAGAAGGTAGTTTATTAATTTCAATTTTTTGAGTTATAACTAAGATAATGTATGTTTAAATAATATGTAATTTTTTATTAGATGAAGATGATGAAGATGAAGATATACAACATATGAAACCAGGATATAGAATATCTTTTGCAAATACTAATAAAATCTAATATGATTATAAAAATTTTCATTTATTTACAAGTATATGACATTTATAATATATTTGACATCAACTAATTTTTTTTTCAAATGGATCTGGAATACGTTTAAAGATGGCTAAAAACTTATCTCCTTTATTTCTTGTTACTTTTTGACCTTCTTCTGTACTTTCATATAATTTCTCAATAATGGGATCTTGATCCTTTAAAAAAATAATTTTCAACATAATTATAAATTTTATTCTCTTTAAAACATAGACTTACCAATTCTTCTTTAGAAATATTATCAAATAATGGGTGTTCTTGAAAATGTTTTACTATCCATTCATGTAAATCTTTAACATCTGTCACTGTGTATACAGTGGCCTTAAAATGATATTTATATAATTATTTATTGATGTAAAAAAAAAAAATAAAAATATTTAAATAATATTATATAAAACATTACGTCTTCAGCTAATACATAAGCATATTCTGCCAAGAGTGTCTTATTTATAATTCTCCATTTATGTTTAGATTTTTTAAAATGTGGATCTGGATATAAGAAAAACATCTTTTTCAACTATAAAAATATATTAATAATTAAAAATATAATCAATATTATAGATTTAAAAACATAACTATATTTTTATTATACCTGGCCTTTTTGAAAGTAATTTGGTAAATACTTCATTGCATTAGTTCTCAAACATGCAATATTTTGATATTGTCCAGGATATTGTGATCTTAATGCAGCTATACGATCCATAACATAATCAGAAACTTTTACTCTAATCTCCATACCAAGAATTAAATTATCAGGAAACATTGGTGATAATGTAACTAAATAAATAAATATTTTATTGATAAGAGATAATGAAATAGAATATAATAAAAAATAAAAAATATTTTTATACCTAATAATCCTCCATAGCCACAACCAATATCTACAAATTCAACACATTTCTTTGCATCATTATCTTCTTTAGATTCTTTGTTAAATGGAAAATAAAATGGATATAATGAATTCCAATTCATTAAATCAGGTTTAATAGGACTGAAATTACATTTAAGAAAAGAATGAAAGATATTTATATAGAATTATGTTTATTTTAATATATATATTTCTTTATAGAAAATAATTACATACTATTCTAAGCAGTGGTCTGCTATAGGATTCGAATGTGCACGTTGTCTATAATATTTTTTTTGTGGTAATGGTAGTGGATCTGACATAGTTGTCAAAAAATAATCCACGTGGGTAATGCACGAATAACATAACCTAAAGAATAATAACCATTATAAAAAAATAGAACGATGAAATATCAAATAATATTGATTAAGATATGTTGCATATTGTTTTTTTTAACACAATATAGATATAAAATAACTATTTATTAAGAGAAATAGAAATTATTTATTATAAAAATTACATATAATTATATATAATTTGTTCTGTATAAAGATATAGATTAAATTAATTTTAGACAAATTAAATATTATATATAAAACTATTCAGTTTTTTATCAAAATCATTAATAAGATCATTAAAAGATTTATTTTTTTCTATTTATTATATATTAATCATTTTTTATAATGTTAAAAGTTATCATCTTTTCTCCAATGACTTGAATGAGTTAATTTATTTTAAGATTATAAATTAATTTACTAAATATTATGGCGAATATATAAATATGAATTATTGATTCAATAAATAAAACAAAAATATAACAAATAAAAAAAAATATAAAAAATAAAAAAAAAATAAAACAAAAAGATTTATTTTTATTAATTCTTATATGTAAATTTTAAATTTTTCATAATAGATGTTTTATTATTTGCTACAGATAAAGACGGAAAATGTGAATTACTAATTATTTTAGAATTCTGCTTCTAATGTTTTTGATACTAAACAATATTAAACAAGAAAGAAAGAAGAGTAAAATGGGTGTGAAGATCATTAATAAAAAGCTAATATTAAATATAGTATTAACTAGGATAAGAAATGTCACTAATTTTATTTCATAATTTATTTTGGATACATAGGATAATAAGAATATAAAATACTAATAGAAATATTAGACAAGATATATATAGGATGTAAAGATTGCAAAAAAAAAATACATGAATTACTAACATTATTTTATAATTAAGTTTTTGTTTCTATAACTTTCAAATAGAATAATGGAATATAAAATAGATTTTTTAATGAGAAAAGCAAACATTAAAAAAGGAGATATATATATCTCATTAATGTTTATTTGCTTTAAAATATTGCAATTAAGTTTGAAAAAAATTATATTTTTTAATTAATATTATTTATTTATAATTTATTTCACTATTAAATATATTTTTGCATGTGTAAATATAATTCTGTAATAATTCTCATAGTGAATTTAAGTTAAAAATATTTAAATATTAAAATTCTTAATATATAATTTTTTTCATTTTCATTAAAAAATTTTTTTTTTCATAATCTTTTTATAATTAATCTTTTTTTCATAATTTTTTTTATTTTGATTTATTTTATTGATTTTTATTTGCGAAGTTAAATTAAAGAATTTTAAAATTAATTTACATTATATAGTTCTATATAAATGCCTGACAGAAGTATGGCGCACGTGCATAAGAAATCAGCTGTTCAATGTTCGTAGCACCGTCTGGTGGTGATGCTATGAACATTGAATGAAAAAAGACGAAATACATTTGGTGTTACGATTTTATCGTGTGATTGGGTGATTTTCTCAAATCGTGTAATTGACGCAATGTGATTTACGATTTAGTCGAGAATCATGTTTCTAAATTATATCTATGTAATCCATGTTATTGAGAAACAGAATTCGGCTTAGAAGTTATCGCGTTCTCTCAGGTGAGGTTAGAATACTCTCGATAAAAAGCTATTCATTATTTCCGAATAACCGAAGATCGCTTTGAAAAGATTTACTATTAAAAAAAAAAAAAAAATTGTAGTTTTTTTATTTGATGTACATTTATATTGAATTTGATAATTAAGAATACGTATTTACTTTCTTCATGCATTTAATAAGATTTAAATAAAAATGTTTTTATTTTTCTTTTATCACATTATTTATAATAAAACAGATTTTTATTATATATCATTATTTAAAAATGCGTATTCTTTTTGAAAAATTAATTTTTTTATTTCAAATTTAGTTTTATCGATATATTTTTGTAATTTTTTTTTTTTAGATTGAATAACTACGGTTTTCAATCATACATGACGACGGATATCCGAGAAAATCTATCTTTTGTTTAATTGGTAAGTTTAATAAATTAAAATTATTTAATATTTATAACGTATAATATTTATAATGTGTATAGTACTAATGAGTGTAATGTAATATTTCATGTTATTACTGTCTTTTTTTTTTATTTAAAACTAATATGCGAAGTTATTGATATGTGAATATCAGTGACTGATGCTTTTAATTTGTATAACTTTTTTTTAAATAATTTTTTTTATAAGAAATTGATGAAATCGTATATTGTTTTAAATAAAAATATTTAAATTGAAGGAAAAATTTGTTATGCATATTATAAAAATCGTAATAACATGAAAAAAATTACTGATAGCTAATCATTTAAATTATTAGACAAAAATTTGATAAAGTTATAATTTCGTAGCAATTTTATTTCTTAAATAAATTAATAATATATAGAAATTGAAGTTAAGTGGAATAATTTATTTTTTATTTCGACATTTCTCATATAATCTTAAAAAGAATATAAAGATTAAATTCATTAAAAAAAAATATATTATATTAAATAATGAATGAAAATTTATATGAATTATAATAATTATATATGAAATTTAAATTTATGAAAGCTTTGTTTCAAATATTTTTAATTTATCTATTTATTTCGAAAAAAATAATAAATTTTATTATTTTTCATTTTATATAATAAGTCATATTTATACTCACAAATAATTAATCTTTTTTTGGATATATCGACAAATCTAGTATTCAATTTTTTCTAAAAAATCCCATAAATTAATTCTATGGATTAATCATAGAAAACACAAAATCAAGAATATACATAATGCCCTTGAATTGTACATTTATGTTCATGAAACAACGAAATCGTTGGCACAAAAGCAGACTTAATGGAAACACCCATTACTTATTTCCAATGAGGAGATTAGGTTTCTTATTAGCAAGTGGAATCGAATTAGCTTGCTTTCTTCTATATACATATACATAACCGAACATAATACGTCTCGGCAATGAAATGATACTTTCATTATTTGAAATAGACGCCGTCGTAAATATATGAGTGGCAGGTACTAAGTAATTAGTGTGTTAAATGCTTTTTAACTTGTGTTATTAAACAAAATGAACGCATGGCTACCAGATCCACGAATGTGGTTGACATTCGAGGCAGATTCTAGCTGGGTAAATAATTTTTGAAATTCATTGGGCGATAAAATAACTAAAATAATATTAAATTAACATTACGTACAAATTATTGAACATAAACTTGAATAGTATAATAATTGTAAAATATAACTTACTATTAAAATACTAAACTACTAAAGTAAAATTCTTCTTTTTTATAATAGAATGATTGTGCACCATCTCTAAAAATTTTTATATTTATATAAATAAATAAATATAATAAATAATAATATATATAATAAATAATATATAAATATATATTTATATATTTATATAATTACATGTAAACGATAATTTTTTATGTGTAAAATAAAGAATGAAGAATATTGAAATGAAAAAAAATAATGAATAATTTGTATCCATTTATATATTTATATTATTTAATTCAGATTTATAAAATAGAATTGTCGATTTGATACAAAATATTACATTTCAATGAATTATCAAATTAAATATAATCTAATCTAATTTAATTTTTTTATATAACAGCTTAAAAAGAATGATAACTGATTAATTATTATTACTTAAAATATTTTATGTTCGTTTATAAAATTTGCACGAATATTATTAATATTTGGAAGTTTCTTAGAAAAAATAGTTCAGAATACATATATTATTGGTTCATGGAT